TCTTTATAAATGAATTGAAATACACTTTTGGTCATTGCTCATTAGAATTTCCTCTGCAGTATTTGCTCTAAAACATTCCAGGCAAATATTTGTCATAAAAACAGTCAAATCTTTTTAAAAGCCCTGCAGTCAGATTTTGAGCTGGAGTTAGATCTTGTGAAATTCCAGCCTATGTTTATATGTCATCAGATTCGGTGATGGTGATTGGATACAATTGTTGCATACGCATATCTAATGTCAACAACAGGTCAGCTATTGGCTGCCCTGCAGCACTGACCTTGAACCGGACGAGCCAAGATAAGCTGAAATCTATTTTCCCCAAAACATGATGATTTATGACATGTTATGGTGCATTTTAAATGCTTTCATACTCAAAATAAGAGATTGTTTATTCTAAAAATGTTTATTAAAAGAAATCCAACAAATTAGTAGCCCATAAATTGTCCTTTGCGGCCCAGCCGCCACTGTCCATAAGGCAGGAGACTCCAGCAAACACCAGAACCCACGGACGTTTCTAATACAATAACACGGGCCGGATCAGTTAATTCTACTATAATTACGTAGTAGGTGGTGAACAGTGACATGGTTAGTTTGTGTTTACCACCCAATGTCACTGAGCAACTGCTGAGTGAGAGCTTCTGTTTGCACAGAGAGCACGTCGTCCTGTTAGAGACGAAGAAACACTTCAGCCTCCTCATGAAAACCAATGACACGCCACTGTTCCCCACACTCCACAGGTCTTATTCGCTCAGCTGAAGAAGGACGGAGCCGCTTCGTTCCGCTCCTCGCAGTTTTACACGACTGTAGCATATGACCGTCACTAACAACGAACGTGTCATCTGACTCCAGGGGCCTCGTTTATTAGCGTACGCAACGTAAGTGTGCGTAATTTGTGCGTACGAATATTCCCACGCCAAGTATGGGATTTGTCAACTTGAACTGCGGCGAAGTAATGTGTGTAAATTTGTGACCATGTGGTAGAAGAGTGAAACTACAACGGGTTTAGCAATCTAATCTTCACACGTGTTCCCTGCTTCCTCTTAATAATACAGATTCATAGTGATTAGTGATTCAGCAGACATTTTGAATGATTGGTGTGACACTCATTCCTTTCTAGTGTGCATATGTACGGTGTACACACAGTTGACAAGTACAGATTTTTTTTTTTTTACTTGTTAGAACCTTTTCTGTGCATGGTTTGATGAATGAGGGCCTCCAGGGCTCTGGACACCAGAGCGGAGCTGGATAGAGTTCTGTCATGCTGGAAGTTCTTCAGTCAGTGGCCTCTGAGTGTAGATAGTAGTAGCTTTGTTGGTAACATTTAGAAAATGAGAGCTGAAGTTTATCTGATGAGTACTGCGGTTTTGATGACGGCTTAATGCCCTTTTATCTTTGATAGAAAACGTTAAAGGAAGAAACTGTGTAATTACTGCGTTGGGCTTTTTAAGATGCAACAGCAGAAGTTTGTCCTTGGGTTTAGACTTTTAGTTTACAGAATGGATGTTTAGCAGGTTTAGTAAAACATCTCCTTAATACCCATAGTGCATTGCATTCTCAGAGATTAAAGTACCTACAATAATATGCAAATGTTTCTGGACACTTGGGTATTTCATGTCTTTGACAGCTTTAATCTGAGAATATAAATGGACTTTGAACAGATTCCATTGGGCCATGTGTGTTTGTAGCTCCTACGAAATGGCTGGTGTTGCACTTTCTACAAGTATTTCAAGGCCCTGGATATTATTATTATTATTATTATTATTATTATTTCAGAAACGTAATTGACCTGCTCACCTGTGATGTCAGAGATATTATTATTATTTCAGAAACTTAATTGACCTGCTCACCTGTGATGTCAGGAGCTCATGTTTACCTACCTTTGCTGGGGCAAAACATTGCCGCGTGGACACAAACGATCTGCAGCTGAGATACGAAGCATTTCTTTGTACACAGATCGAAGTGACGTCAGTTTCCAGGATAGTTCTGCCCTTAACCTGTGCAGAGAAAGATGTAATCAGCCAGAATAATTGAAAATACCCTGTGTGTGTTTGAGTGTGTGTGTGTCGGTGTATGGTCAGCCATCTGTCAGGTGTAAGATCACCTGTACTTTTTATGGAAACGTGGGTTGAGGTTGCTAAGAGACCTTTAGCCTGAACACGCACTGGCTTTCTCTTTCTCACACACACACTCTCGCATACAAACAGGCTGACATTTTCCAAGACGATGAAAACGGAAAGAAAGCAGCAGAAAGTAGATCTGTTTGTTTTAATTTGTTGTTGATGTTTTCTTCTCTGACTTTGGCCTTTTCTTGAGTTTGTTGTCATTGCCCTTTTCTCAGACTTTCTGCAGCACTGCTTGCGTCTGTCTTCACATTTGTTACTTCTAGATGCTATTTATTTCATAATTCGTTTTTTGTGTGAGTAAGTCTGAGTGAAAGTTTTTTTGTTTTTTGTTTTTTTTCAAGCACATTAAGCTCAGTACATCGAGAACCCTTACTTTGGTTCAAAACAAAACTGGAAAACAAAAAGTCTTTTGTCTCAACATTTCCATCCTTCCTTTACAGCATGCCTTTCTTTTTGTTGTTAATCATGTACATATTTTAAATCTGTAAAGTCACTGAAATGCGATTTCTTTTTTTTTTTTTTTAACTCCCCTTTTTATCCCACAGTGTGGAAATTCCCAATGTTCCAAAGTGGGGGAAATTCACACTGTTTATATTAAAACAGTACTTTTATTGTGACTTGACTGATGCAGGTCATCTCTGAATTGATGACCACACACAGGTGTAAACAGCTCATCAGCTGACAGAGTGTTTGTACAGGACACAGATCATCAGATTACACCAGGTCGGGATGGTCATGCTTTTATTTTGAAATGCACAGCTTTATTTCAGTTAAATCAAGTGACATTTCCCTTTTATGTTTTCACCATGTAACTATAATGTACATGTCAGAATATTTAGATTCATATTATTAAAGTGTTATTAAAGTGTAAAGTGTATTTTAATACTTTTTCTTCATTTAAGGGTGTTCTTTTCAAATAGAAGAAAGCATTACTATGATTGGTCGGGTCAGTTATTTTGAATAATGAGTATTATTTTTGGAGTGAAAATAATGGTTTCTATTCGAGCGTCTGGTTTCTGACTGTATATGTAATTTTTTTTTTTTTGTTTCGTGCTGTTCTTCAGATTCACCAACCTCAGCAGTATCATGGCCGTTTATAGCGCCGTGAAGTGTTTGCATCAGCTCTGATTTGCTCTTTCAATAACTGCTTTATCAAATCTTTGCAGCAGGTCATATAACGGAACGTACTGTACCATAAACCTCAAGGGTAGGGCTTTGGTTTTATTTCCTGTCACATCCTGTCAATCATTAACTCCTAACAGCCATCTGACTGACTGATGATATTAACAGCTGCACAGTCAACAGTCCACATTATTAATGGCTGCATGCATTAAAATAAAATAAGTCTCATCAGGTACTTGGTACCCAGTATTTTAGTATTAAGTTTCTAACAGTTTAATTATTTATATATATATATATGTATCTTAAATGAATGAATATAATTGTTCAATGTGAAAATAGCATATCACTATGACTGTATGATGGTGATTCAAACAACACATTCTTCTACCTTTAGCTTATTGTACCTGAATAATCTTTTACATTTTCACCTTTATAAAAGTATTTGAAATAATATGAATTAAAAGTGAATAAAAGCTCTGGATCTTAGGTTCAGTGGTCCACAACATAATGACATTTATGTGAACTTACTCACTCACCCATGCACTCATTACACCAGATACAGGCTCAGTCTGTGGTCAGGACTGTATTGGCATGCGGTCTGGATGCGGACCCCGTTCTGTACTTTGAGAAGTCCTGGTTTAGATCTTTAGGATCCTTGAACAGGATTTATTCTGTAGTTGCTATAGACAACAGCAGTCCTTGTATCATTACTGTGCCAATACTGCATTCTAATATTTATATCATTCACAAAAAAAATTGATACTTTGAGACTGCTTTTTATTAAGAACATCTTCGCACAAGTCAGACTTTTCTTTTTCCCCCTTCCGGTAACATTTTTTATTGCCTTAATGATTTGTTCTGTTACAAAACAAACAATAATAAAACACCTGAAGACACACATTAGTACTGACTACACTAATGTTCCTTGGCCTATTCAGCAGAGTGGATAGATGAGTTCATTATACCAACATTTGTTCATTGAAACATGGAATCAGTTCTTAATTTAAGTGACACGGTTTACTGGACAGCAGGGCGCAATGTTCCCGAGTAAAAAGTGTAATTGCTGTAAAAGCTCTGCTCACTTTCTGTTAAGCTGACTATGATAACTATGTTCAGAAGAATGTTTCATTTGTTTTTGTTCCTTTATTTTGTCCTGTGTTTTATTGACATGTTGTCTTAAACCGTTTGAGGACTTTTGTTTATATTTTAATACAGAACTGTTTCCTAGAGGATCAAAATAGTCCTCTGTTAATGAGAAGAAATAAAAACTTGAGGTTTGGGTTGAGCTCTCTCTCTCTCTATCTCCCTCTCTCTCTCCCAGTTTCTTACACACATACACACACTCTCAACTGTTTCTTCAGCCTGTGGTTAATTCATTTAATTCCGAGTAAGTGTGTTTGGGTGGTGCCTGTTTGCTGAGTCTTGACAGTAAAAATATATTAGGCTAATATTGTTCTTAAGTCTTTTCAAACTGTTTCAATACAATGTGTGAAGTATAACATTTCAGAGAGGCGATCAGTGATGGGATTTCTGTGATGTAATTAAATGTGTCAGTGTTTTTACCAAACTCTTTTTCTTGGTACAAAACAAATCTTTTGGGACCCACCTGAGGGTTGCGACCCAGTCTTTGGGAAACAATGCTGTATCTGACCTCACTTTGTCCACTTTGTCAAATTTGTCCTGGTTTTGACTTTTCATGACATGACATGTCGTGTTTCAACCATTTAACCTCTGTCTTCAAACGTCTCTCTGCAGCTCTCTGGTGGCTGTGAGCTGACGGTGGTTCTCCACGACTTCACAGCAGGATGCAGCACAGAGATGTCAGTCAGCACAGGTGAGACTGACAGAAACGTTCACTCCTGTCAGAGCAGCTCAGCCCGGCTCTGCCCTGCTCCTGTGGTCTGTCTTCAGTATTAAATATCTTTGGAGCTGAAAAACCCACCTACAATATTCTCCCTGCGTCCAGGTCAGACGGTGGAGCTTCTGGAGAGGCCCAGCGAGCGTCCAGGCTGGTGTCTGGTTCGTACCACAGACCGCAGCCCACCACAGGAGGGTCTGGTTCCCAGCTCTGCTCTCTGCGTGTCCCACTCTCGCTCCAGTGTGGAGATGGACTGTTTCTTCAGCTCAGGAAAAGGTAGGAACAAAAAAGTTCAACCTAAAACATTAGTTTGTTAGAATTCGATCACTTCCATTCTATTCTCGTTCAGTTTGAGTAACGTTGACAGAATAAATACGCCTGCGGTCCTGTGGCTTTAACCTGGTGTTCTTATGCCAAAGGGTTGTACAGTTTATTTTAGCATAAGCTAATGTGTTGCTCAGCAAAGAATATTGAAAAACCTGCCAAAGGTTATCTAAAAACCTTAGAAAGTCGTGTAAAAATAGCAATTTCTAAAGTTTGACTCTTCTGGATATCTTAAAACATAATCATTTTTCTAAATAACAAAAAAAGTGTACATGGAATTATGATAAAGATGCTGCCCACATTGCAAGGTCAAAGGTTATCTCAGCTGTGCTAGTCAATTATGTATTAAAATTATTAAGTAGGCGGCAACGCTGAGTTTAAATCCATACATGAGGGGACGTTCATGTGGATTTATGTCAGAAACACACATTACCTCTGAGGTCCAATAGCAATAAGCAATTCGGTACATTTTTGAGGTTCTCAAATATCTTGAAATATGTCAATAATAATTATTATAATAATAATTTAGCTCCTTATTTGTCCCCTTTGGGAACAACATATCCCTACGTTTGTTTAGTTTGTTTCCATTGTAGAATAAATAAAAGTTGATCAAATGCACACCTTCTATTTAATTTAATTCACATTTTTTACTGATTTAATAATTTAATGTTTGTTACATAAAACTCCAGTGAAATAGACCTGCATTGACCTCTGTTGGTTGGATATAGAAACTGCAGAACTCTCCTGTTTAAAGCCTGTTTATTGTAGGTGTATTCACACACTGATGCCACAGCAGAGACTAAAACCTGGTCAGTCCTGTTATTTATGCATTATTTATTCAGAGCTTTATGCAAAAATCGATCTAGTTTGTTTCACATGTTCATCAAGGTGAAGAGGTGTTTGGCTTTGGTATCTATCTGTTTGGTAAAATGGTTGTTAATGTGAGCAGTTGCAAATGTATGTTTGGTGAACTTTAAAAAAGACGTTAATCTGAACCTGATTAATCTGACGTGACACTGTTATAGGCAATAAACAAACCCTTGAGTTAGAATGTTGAAGATATATAAAGACAACAATAGTCTGGCTTTGAGACGTGGTTGTGAGGTGGTCGTCCTCCTCCCTTTCCTCATTTTTATTCAGAGTTATCTTTTTAGTCGCATTGCTGCCACCCACTGGTTTGTGTTTCTGCTTACGCAGAAATGTGACAACTTACTAAGTGTAAATGTCAACAGAGGGCAGCATGCTGGGCACAAACTCACCCCAATGCACCTGTAGAATTTACTATAGGGCGGTACAGTTATATAACTGCAGTTTCTTTTTTAGGTGTTACTTCGAACAGTGCTCGTCTTATTTGCCTTGCAATTTTTGTCTTTTTATTACTGGTGAGGAAAAATTCTCTCTCTAATGTGTTGCTGTAGAAACATGCAAATTCAGGCTTTGTGACCGTTACACATGGAAATAAACACAAAAACACACACACACACTATTACATTTGAATATTACAGGTCCCCTCTGTACACGAGCGTGACTGTGATTAATTGAATTGTTCCTCATTTGTTAATAACGAGTCAAACTGTTAATTAACCCTAAGACTCTAATTAACGGCTGCTGAGTAAAATTCAACCCCAGCCTTCGCTCTGAAGGAGTGTGTGTGTGTGTGTGTGAAGTCTCATGACTGCTGCTCTATAAAGTAGGTCTCCTTGTCCTTTTCTCCACTACTGTAAAGACACAGGAGACAAGTTTGTGGCCTTTTTTATTTAGTTATATGGCATACGAAATATGTAATGTTTAAAATATATATATAAATTATAGTCATTATCAACCTAATAATATTATATACTGTTTTATACATAATGCTGGTTTAAAGGCATCACCTGTCCTGGAGCTGTGATAGTTGTTTCCCACTCGCCATTTTAATTAAAACCCACTGTTCCCTGTTGCTCCATCTGACAACTGTGGTGTGTCCTCCAGCATAGATGTGTAACGTAGGTCTGTCAAAATAAAGGTTTTGGTCCAGTTAATTTATTTGTAAAGATTATTCCATTATGGGGTTTTTTAAAAACACATTTGAATGCATGGGCAGAGTGACGCAGGCTGTGAATTGCTGGTTTTGCAGCCCAGGCTCAGTCTATAGACTGATCTATAGAATGATCTTGTATCTGTTTATTAATGAAATGCTTATTGTCCAAGGGGACCTCAGGACATGGTTTATAATGGAACTTGTGTTCATGTTGGTTTATGTTTGAGTTTGGAGTTCTGTCATGTTTTTTGCTGTGTAACTCTGGTAGTGGTGCACAAAATGGGACACTGCAGGGAAACTGTGTTGCTGCATAAACTTTATCTGGGCTAAGTGGAGTTCAGTGTGCTGTCTACCTCCAAGGTGAGACACACACACACAAAAGTTTCTCACGGTTCCTTCAGATGCTGAGCTTTGGCCTGATTCAGACAGTGACTTCAGTAAGTCAGTGTAGTGGGTAAGAAAAAAAAAAAAAAGAATGTCTATTGGTTCTGTAGAACCCGTCAACCCAAAATATTCAGTTTTAATTCCTTTAATTGTGTGTATTTGTTTGGCCTGTCGGACCATGTAGTTTGTTGATTTCAGAGACTTTCAGAGACAGGGTTTTATGTGTCATAGTTTGATTGGTCAGAGACTTCAGGGTTTTATGTGTCATAGTTTGATTGACAAACGGTGAAGACCAGTATGACGTGTTATTCACAGGTTCTGTAGAACTCCACCAACTGAAATATAACGTCTTAACATTCTTTAGTACAGAATCTGCCCAGGCAGAAGACCTGTTTATCTTGCCTTCCAACAAACAAACCAAACAAACTTACAGTGCCCTCTGCTGGAGCACACCTATTCCTTTAAAACAGCGGTTTCGTACTGACCTCAGGTCAGATCAAACCTCTGCTTTAGGTAGTAAAAATTAAACTTCTGAACTGAACTTTTGGATAATTGTACATGGCTGTAGATTATGTATCAATATTTCCAGATCAGTTGTCAGTCACTGTGTATATTTATAAATTGTTATAATATTTAGGTCTGTGCTGCCCTGATCTGAGGCCTTCATGTCTATTTGCCAACTTTAAAATTATTAGAAAAGGGAATTCCGATCCTTGACCATCAATGTAGCACACGACAGGTTTTATTATAACAGATTGACTCCTGTCTATTCTACGATTTAATAGTTTTCTTTGGCATCAGGTTCCATCAAAATCCCAAAGTCAGAAGGCAGGGAAGCCAAGCTGCAGGTACAGATCTGAGATATGAAACAGTCATCCGTCAGTACTCTGTCTGTCTGCTGTCTGATAGGTCAGCAGTGTTTTCCTGGTACAACTTATTCTTCTAATAGTAAACAGTAGGCTCAAGGACAAGGAAGCAATCGAGTAAACTGATACAAACGTCCAGCAGAACTGTGGTTCACTGTTTAGTTTGTAGAGTAAAATGTCAGTGTGTGTGAGAGAGTGTGTGTTACAGTACTGATATCTGAAAAGTCACTTATTTCCTCAATTTCCACACACACACACACACACACACATGCATGAACTTAATTCTCAATTTCACTGTGGAACTATGAAACTGTGTGTGGAACTATTAAAGTCAATGTCTGAAAAAGAAACATATAGATGTGTGTGTATGCGTGTGGGTGTGTAGGCTCCTCCTCCCACTCTCTCTCTCTCTCTCTCTCTCTGAATCTCAGCTGTGCAGATTTGGAACTCTTGTTCATTTGTTCTGGAGTCAGTCAGTCAGTCAACCAGCGTGTGTGCTGTTCAGGCCACATGCGTGTGTGTCTTTGTGACTGTGTGTTAGACGGCTGTAAAGAAGTGTGAGACCAGGATGCATGCAAGGCAGTGAGGATGAAGCGAGGCCGGCGCTGCTGTGGATGGATCCTGGCTCGATGCTGTTGCTGCTGCTGCGGCGGCGGCGCAGGTGGGATAAGATGTTGTGTCTGTGTGTGTCAGTGAGCCTCTGAGTGTGTAGGCTTGAAGTGTAGTTGTAGATTTGTTTTTGTGTGCTCTTTAAAACCAGGCAGATTCGGCGGGTCTGTTTCTCTGAGTTTGTCCTGAACCAAGAGGAACTTTTGCTGATTCTTTAATTTTTATATATGAATTCTGTAGTTGATGCTGTTGAAACTGATTTGCGAGTTGCGAAACAGGAACCTCTGTGTCACATGGACGAACTGAGACAAAGTGTTGCCTGGACAGCGGGGGGACACACGGAGACAAGGACAGCTTCTGTCTTTGTTTCTCTGTTGTGTTGAGCAATGTTGTTTCCCTCCCTGGGTGTGCTTTATTATATGAGTGTATGGGTGTATGGGTGTGTGCTGGTTCTGTAGCAGGTTACGACACGAGCCCAGATACTGTAAGTGTTTCATGAGTCAAGCTTTGTTTTTCACCTGTCGATGACTGTGTCCTCACACTCAACATGGAGATGAAACCTCTGTCAGTTGTCAGTAAAAGTCCAAATGTCTGCTCGGTTGTCTGTTGTTGTAGTGGGAGTTGAAATGCAGTTCTGGTTTACACCTGATCAATGTAGAGCTGAGAGTAAGCACTGACCTTAAATCTGACCAATAACAACACATCTGAAATCAGCCTCTTTGGAGCGACATGTAGTAAAACCATGGTATCAAACAAGGCAAAGTTTAATAATAATATAACGCCTCTGTGCCAGCACGTTGTCCAGGTTGTCACTGATTTTCTTTGTAGCTAACATTGACATGTAGAAGCTAGGAATTGCTTTCGATCTAAGCACACTAACGACCTTCCTGTGTAGAAAATTAAAAAAAAAAATGTAGTCAAAACTTTCTAAAACATTAAGGGAAAAAAGATCTCAAGTCAAAACAATCAAGGAAGCAGTGTTTTCATTGGATATTTCCTCATTTTAAAAATGTTTTGGCACTAAGTCGCGACCTACTTGTTTGCCTTTGTATTAAAAGATATTAGGAAGAGGAAATGTTGCTGAATTTAAGGGATAATTTTAACAGGTCATTCGAGGTTAAATCAATTATATTGAACTGATCTTGTAAATATTATTGTTTTTCTGTGGTCTGCTGCTGACCTCTAGGCCAGCTCTCCCTCGGTGGGCTTTAGCTGGTTAAATAAAGGAAACTAGAACTTAAAACAATGAGGGTTGAAAAGTGTATTTGATTGAAAAATTACCCTATCATGCTTAGGGGAATCACTTGCCTTGTCCTTAAGGTTGCCTTAAGAAGGCGTCCAGAGAATCCTTCTAGCTTTGGTCCAAATGTTGCCTCAGATTTCTAGAATAATTAACTCACTCTGGTGGCCAACAACCTGGACCTACCTAAACTAGTAAACATGAATAATCAATACCCAGAAAAATATGCCTAAAAACCTTGAATTGAACTGTATCTAACGTCTGTCTACTAAAAAGATCTTTGACCAACATGTACCACCAAAACATACGGTAAAACTTCATAGGCTGGAACTGTTGCTTGACAAGTCCAGCTACATTCTGATGTGTCCCTGAGCAGGACACTCAGCCACCAAACTGTCCACCGTTGGACAGCAACGTACTCCGAGACCTGGCCTGAGCAGTGTTTTAATCAGGACACACTGCAGTTGAAGTGCCGTCAACGTTCCGCTGGTTTGTGTACGCTTAGCCTTTAGCTATCTTCTAGCTGAAGGTTAACTTAGTTGTGACTGTGAGCAGACGGTGGACTTCGGCCCCCTCAGCCTCTGAACTTACTGTCTGCTGCGGTGTTGCAGGCTGTAGTATCGTTCTGGCATGTAGCTGAACGAGTTCCTCTGGTTTCAGTCATGGCTGTGACTAGACGTTTGCATGTTTGTCGCGTGTTATCTTCCTGTAATTCAATGATTGTCATGTGATTCATTTGATTAATCACAGGTCATCTGTGTCACTTGTCATTCAGTCATTTTTGGTTTTGGTTTTGGTTGGCTTGTTATTTTTTAAATATGTTTTGGCTAACCTTCAGATGTACATCTGTTTACCTATGATGCAACCATTAACCACTACATTACTACAGTTTCGTACACATACAGTGCAGTATCTTAGTATCATATTAGTATCATAGTAGTAGCAGGTGTTTCCCTCTGTGATACAGCAGTATAAACACCACACACAAGTCAACATATTTAGAAGCCTTTAAAGAGGAGTCGAGGTAATACGACAAGAAAGAGTTTCATTGTAATTTGGCATCTTATTTCTTTTTTTTTTTAGATAGATTTTCTGTTATGCATAAGGAAGTGAATTAATTTAACTTTTGACAGAAGTATTTTTGTCTTTGTCTTTTTGCAATGTTTGATTTTTTTTTTGTGCTCAGTTTTCTCAGAATATACTTCATCTATCTTATATTCTGTTTTTTAATATTTTGGGCTAGGTTGTGGGACATTTTTTGCTAGTTCTCTGGTTAACTCTTGTTAACCTTTCCTGCTTCTTAATTATTCTGTATTTGATCAATATTTGCACAGTTTAATAATACGTCCTTGTATTATATCCTGGGTAATAATAGATATACTTTTGATTTGTATGTCCAACATTAGCCATTTTTCTCAACTTGAGCAGTTTCTGGGTGGCTTGGATTGGATTAGACCTTATTGATCTGACACTGGGGGAGCTGATACGTTGCAGCAACAGAGGATTCCACTGTTCTGTGATCATAGTATATTTTCAGCAATGATGTGTGAGCTACAGGAGCTTTAAAAGAGCTGCCTGTACAGTCAGGTCAGGTCAGGTGGTGTACATCGCTGCTGCTGCTGCTGTTGTTGTTGTTTTTATTGTACTTGCATTTTTTTTCTTCTCGTACACATCAGTCTAGAAGCACTTCCTGTCTTAGCCATTCACTCCATGGTGACAGAGTGACTGACTGTTAGGGGTGTAAACTGATCCTGCGTCCCATCCATTACCCATTAAACCTGAGGATGGGCCGGAAACTACTCTGACCCTGAGGCGCACACACACGCACAGAATTCTAGCTGAGATAATGGACAGGAAAAGCCTTATCTTTGTCTTTGCTCTCCTGCT